TTGATGAAAAATATCGGAAAGTATCAGCCTCTGACTAGGATCTGTGTATTTTCTGCAACAGGAGCTGGCGCTCACTACGGGCCATAATAGGACCACAGAAGAGACTTTTCCCTAAAACTCAAAAACCCCTTTTTAAAGCCAAACAAACCCTAAGGAAAAGCTAGAGAGGGGTTCCTCATTTAATTTTTTTCAGAGAAGGTAAGGTTTCCCGCCACAAACAAAACTGGAAGACGAAATCAAAGCATCTCAGGAGAAGCGAAAACTCGGCCCCCAGCAAACATTTCTAATGACGGGAGTGGCCCAGCCCAGCTAGTGGGGTTATTTTCCCTGTCGCACCATAACACAGATTTAGGAAACAAGTGAGTAGCTTTGAGGCGCGCAGAAATGTTGTACAAATTACCTGGCTGCACATTGAATTACGATCTAACAGTCACGCCATCATGTTGATATGATGACAAGTATATCCTACCCACAATAGCTGCCTGGATATGGGATTTTGCATACCTAGAAGGCTCTGCACTTCGCTGACGTTCTTCTTGGCTTCATTCTTGACCTCATGTCAACATAACTTGAACTTGCACCATTTCGTCGTGGAGCAGTGATCGCGCAGGGTAGAATCACTGGCCAAGTAGCTTTGGTCGTATAATTCGCTTTAACTTTTTAACTTTCCAAGGCCCATGGGTTGAAGCAACCAAAACGTCGCATTTTCGGCACAATGTATTTGTCTCCGATCAGGTTCGTGTCAACAGCATTTCAGTTATTATCCCTCAATCTGTAAAGACCATTCTTGTTGAAATACTTCAGAAAGGTGCAAAATAAAGCGCTAGCTTTGTAATTTCGAAACGTTGAGCTAAATCTTTTTCGTTCAAATTCTACCAGTTTTCAATTCAGTCAAGTCGAAGTGTGCTGTACAAGTACCCTTGAAACAGAATGTAGACTGCACTGCGCGGAACACTTGATCGAAATGCCGCCCTAAAAGGTGGCGCGCTTTTGACTTAAAAGTTAACTTCGCGGTGGTTAATATTACACCAGTAATTGTCCAAAACAATAAAATAATCTGGGGTTAGTCGATCTGGCAGGCCTCTGTTTACTTGACATGAATTATAACAAAAGGAAAGACTTGATTGTCTATAACATGAAACAGAAAATGTCATTTTGAGAAAACACCTTTGACCGCAAGTACCAATATAATTATCTCATATCTAAAAAATGATTGACGCAACCAAACACATTTGTAATCTTCCCTGCTGGGATTTTTTTCTTTTGACTCTGAAGCTCCTCATGGTGAGTAGGTGTCTGTCTTGTTAGACTAGGTTTACACTAGAGGAGATTTTTTCGGATTCGTAAATTTTTCCGGATTCATCAATTTTAGAGTGTTCGGATTCG